AGCATGAGAGTAGCTAATAAATATTCCACTAAATGAGCACATTCTTCTTACATAAATTCTTCAAATTGTCAAAATTATCCACATCTAATTGTTTAATCTCAAGATCTCATGTCAAATGTTTTTGTTATTGTGCAAAAAATGCTTGATGTAAATCTCCTGCTAATAATTCTTAATTAAATGCTCTTTATCTCGAGACATTTCCGCTCTGGATTTATAAAAATCACATGGCAATTTCTCGTACAACTCATTTGTAGTTTATGCAGCTTCTACATTAAATTCTTAATGAGTGAAAACGACATGAAAATTATGCCATGATTTTACTTGCGCGTCTTCCTATAAGGAAATGTAGGAAATATTTTTGGATTGTCTGTTTGTCTGGCTGGCTGTCTATTATCAACTAGATCTTCTATGTTTTGAAACCAAAAACTTAAATCTCGATAGTGGCAATCGTCTTCACAGATACCAAATTAGTATAAAATGCGTTTAAAAGCCACCTACGCTACAGCCTTCATTTCCAGTTTTCCGTCTTTCTTTTTTCTTTTGCTAAAAAGCATCAACAATTTTTTTCCATGCTTTTTCCCGCGCTTATAATAATATTTTACAAGTTACAGTAGACATTTCATAGAAAAAGAAAAACTAGCTGAACATACATGCGTTTACCTTTTCCTAACGATTTACGAGATTTCGTTTTCTATTCTATCGTTGATATCTTCCTGTAATATTGCTTTTTGATTTGTATTTTATTCTCATTAGTGCTGCCAAGATAACTTCTCTTTATGTCTTCTTTTCATTTCCACGTTGATTTATGTGTTCCTGATATGCCACTGAATTATGAAGAGTATTGATGTATGAAAAAGGTTTGAGACATAACCTAACCTCAATTGCTTCGAATAGAGAAGAAATGAGATGGAATTTTGAATGATTGTGCTTAATTTAAAGGGAAATTTGAAACTTTAGTATCTTTAGGCTTCTTAGTTCAAGTCGGGACCCTCTCTAAGTATAACCCCTTTAGTCATTGAGTAGGTTTCTAGGTTAGAAAGCTACAAAAAATTTCCTACAGATATCAAATTCCAAAATCAATATGATTGCTTCTCAAAATTCTAAGAAATCAACAGTAAATTGAGGATGACTCACCTACTCATTTAATTCTTATCTCAAATTGAGCATTAGAAAAATTTTTATGAGCAACATAAATTTATTTTTATGATCCAAAATTAATATTCTGTAATTAAACAGACAGGAAAGTTCTCTTCACCTAAAAATTATGCTGAAAACATAAAAATAAAGCAATTAAAAAACAAAGACAAAAGGCTCAATTTTCACATAAATATTAATTTTTTTTTTATTAATTTTTCTATTTTCTCTGTGAATTTACAAAATTAATTTCGCCATATCTTCAAAGTATATCTTTCTTCTATTTGAATACATTTACAAAAAAACATATATGAAACCAATCAATAACAAATTCGAATGAATGAGTTTTAAATTAAAAGCTTTTATACGCATTCATTTTCATCATCAACGCTGGTTTCAAAAAAATAAAGATTAAAAAATTTCTCTTTTTCTTGTTAATATCTTGTGTTTTTATTTCTCTTCTTTTTCTTACAAGCTAGCTCATCATCATGGATTGTTTGTTTATCCCATGACTTAGCTTTTTTTTTTCGTTTTCATAAATAAAGTAGTGAATTTTTTTTCGGTCATAGAAAGATGTAAAATGTAATTTTTTCTCTATATATTCATTTTTTTCAATTTGCTTCTTTTTTGAGATCTCTTGGCATAATTTATTGTGATTTAATAATTTATTTAATTTAATCTTGATTTAATCTAATTTATTGTTTACTTTAAATGTATGTATACGTGTTTAAATTACAGGAAGAAGTAAAAGGACGATTCTCCAGTTGAATTTTGCTTTTGTTTACTTTTTTGCTTAATTTTATCAGCTGAATTGTGCTGAATAGTACTGAGTAACGCTGAATAGCTTAATAAAAGCGCTACATAGTTTGTTATAGCAATTAATTTCAATCTAATTTGCTACATAATAGTTTAAAGATTTGAATGAAAGTTAAAAACGCTTAATAGGATATAAAGGCGCTGAATAATAATTTAACTATGCAATTTAGTATTATTGAGCGATAAGTCACGCAAAAGTTCAAAAAAGCTTCATATTTATATTTTATAAATTCACCTGGAGAATCATCCTACCCGAGCGGCACAAAGGCTCCATTTGCCTTCCATATGGAAGCTATACGGAGCCTCCATGTTCCACCCTCCATTTGAAAATCTTCCGAAAACCTTACTATCATGGAACTTTGACGGAGCCAAAGCTCCGAAAATCCTCCGTGGGACGTGCATTTATTAACACCAAATGGAAGTCATTTGAGAGGTTTTGATGGAGGATGGAGGATCCATTTGTGGTAGTCAAACGGAGGTTTAATGGAAGTATTTTTCAAAGGATTTTTGGTACGATTTTCCACGTGTTTTTCTATGTTTCGCAATTTTTATATCAAGATTTGTAGCTGTATTAGTGGACTTAATTAAAGTACACTAACACTATTGAAAAATTTACAACTTAATTTAATTAAGTCGCAACCACAGCAATTTCTAAGTCTCGATCACACGCGTGAGAAACATAAGAAATTATTAAAAAATTTCATACAAATTAAACGACCCCATATAATAGTGATTTCTGCATGCGCTTGTGAAGTATGTAATTTCATACATATCCTTTTTTTTATCCTCTAAAATTATCCTTTTTTGCTTTTTTAAAGCTTGAAATGAAGCAATATGATTCAGTAAAGCTTTTCGACAATATTTCAATCCATTACAGTAAGATCTGACCTTTGTCTTTTAAAAATTCAAAAGCACGAGTTTTTCGGTATTTGATTTAAGAAAAAGCGGAGTTCATATGGAATCCAAATGGAATCAATATGAAGGATGAAAAAATAACCCTCCATTTACTTCCCACATAGTGGAGGTGGCTTTCATATGGATTCCATATGGAGACCACCCTCCACCTTGTGCCGCTCGGGCTAGTTATGTAGATACTTTAAAAGCTAGATAGATTTCTTCATTACATGATAAAATAAATAAATTTACATTAAGTGAGTCCTGAATTTACAAAACGATCATTTGTTTACGTACAGCTACCAGACGCATTGATCTGCTAGGGATTTAAATTAAATTAAATAAAAAAAATGTGAAAATAATTTACAATACCTAATTCTCTTGTTATAATTTAATTAATCTTCATCATTTTTTTATTACAAATTAAATATTAAAATAAAAATTACATTACCACATATATATAAATAATTATTTCTTGGATTTCATCTACACACAACATTTAATTATAATTAATTCATCAATCTACATTTAAAATTTTATATTTTTTCATACATAATGCAATTTTGCAATTAATTAACAAATCATTTGAAAAATCAAATTTACTGCTACGTTGTTGCAATGAGGAGCCTCCAATAAATTATGAATAATAAATATGTGTACTTAAAAAGTGTGTGAAAATACACAATGGGTGGATAAGCAATACATTTGCAACAACAATTCAATTAATAATTGATTGAGAAAGAAGAAGGTGAAGAAAAAGCGGGAAAATAATAAATTATTACCTTTTTAAAATCGATTAAGATTTAAGTGAGAAAGAAACGATATCACAATAATAATTTAGCATATTATGCAAGGGGAAGTCAACTGCTAATGAGGTCCATTATTCATAATTAAGCCTTATTTATTGAAGAGTTCTTTTAATTCAAAATAATGTGCTGAACTCTGCAAATTTGGCGCAATCTGCTGTATTAAACTAATTCAGCAAAATCTTTTGAATTCACAAACTCAGCAAAATCTTTTGAATTCACAAATTCAGCAAAAATTAGTTGAATTCAGCAAAGTTATCTGAATTCTCAGCAAAAATCATCTGAATTCAACTAAATCTACTGAATTCAGTAAATTGATAATTTAACAACCATCTACTGAATTCATTATGATAAGCTAAATTAAGTCAATTCAGCATATTCTGCACAATAAGCCCTCAAGCCTAGGTTTACTTTTCCTTGAAAAATCTACTATAGATACAAGAATCAACAAGAAAAAGGAAGAAAATAATAAAAACTATGTGTTAATGCATGTATCTATGAAATAAAGCGAACGAGAAAGATAAAGACCGAAAGGGAAAAAAGAAGAAAATTATGTTATTAAGTGCACGATAATCAGCTTTGTTGCTCATTCTTCAATAAGATTAGTAGAACAAGAGCAACATGCAATCGCTTGATTTAGTGGAAGCATAGTGAGAAAAAGGAGTTATTTTTAAAGTAAATAAGTAATCTATTTAGATTTATTATAGGTCGTGAAATCAATAATCACATGGGAAAATCTTATTACATTATATGAAAGCTTATTTCAACATCCAGAAGTCCCTAGAAATTTACGACTTTAATTTCCAATTTTGTCGTTCAATTCTTATTATTTTCACATAACTTATAAGAGAATAAACTAAAGTGATTCGAAAAATAAAAAAAACTTTAATAAAATTGCTACATTATTAAAAATTAAAATTGCACTCGACTTAGGAAATTGAAATTTATGAATCGCGCATGCAAAATAGTCACATCATAAAGATCGAAATAAGATAATAAGCACATGCTTAAGACAAGAAAGTTTTTTTTTTATTTACAGATATAATAAATTGATTTAATTTATTGTTCTCAATCTTTGAACTATTTAGTTTCCATCTTTATTTAATTTAAGCTTTTTTTTTCTCTTCTGCAATTTAAATTGCTTAATTCCTCTTTTGTTTTAAATTTTCATTTATTTTAATCACATTTTCATTATGTGAAGTATTAATGTACATTCATTTGTTTCTAGGATTATTAATTCATTCAATCGAATGATTCATCTAGTTTTTTTTGTGTGTATTGTGTATAATTGTGAGGTACCTTTTTATTTCATTTCATTTTTTTCTATTAATTACATTATTACTTATAGCACGTGAATTGATTGATTCAATTAAGACTGTATTCATTAATTTACATCTTTATCTTAATTAATTTCACTTTCAGATATAAAACATATAAAAAAGCTTGTTGCCAAATTAAATGATCACAAATAGATACTATCTTGTTGTATTTCTCCTCGATTTTTTAAAAAATTAAATTTTTTTTATGATTCGAAACTTTCTATCCGTTCTAATTTCTTCGTTTGTTTTGTTGGTGATAATCAATCACGTCCGATTCGTTTATGAATTTGTTGATGTTTTATGAGATGTGCCTTTTGTCTGAAAGCTTTTGCACACGTCTCGCATCTATAATTGTTTTATGGGAGATAAATGCAAATAAAAGAAGCATTAGTTTATGACAAAAAATATGTTTTATTGAATAAATTAGGAAATTTCTTTTCATATGAGTTTTGCGTAAAGATTCAGAGTTACATTTGGCAACTTAATGGTTTCTCAAGCGTAATGATCACAAGGGGGGGGGGGGGGGGGGGGTTAAAAAGTGTATGTCAGTGAGTTTTAAAAGTGATCAAATCCTCTTTTGATCACAATCGTCATTGATTGTAGACAGAATCTATAGCGCCTTAGATTTACTTCTCAGAAATTAATCAATAGCTTGCTGAGCTTCGATTAAGAAAATTCTTTCATGAACTTACTCTATACTATAAATCATTATTGTTCATTATGTAATGAAGCAAGAGAAAAATCACATTACATCGAAAATTCTAATAAATTATAAACCGTTTTGCATGTGAAAAGATTTACTGTGAGATTTATTCTTAGAGAGATTCTTCACTAGATTATAATAAAGGAATTATAGGAAATCTAGGTGAACTAGGATGGGGACCTCAAAACTCATATTTAAATAGTGTCAATATTGATGCTTACCTGAAAGGTTTCTCTCCAGTGTGAGTGCGTAGATGAACTTTAATGTTACTTTTATTAAGGAATCCTCGATTACATATTGTGCACCGATGAACGGGCTTCTCTTTCCCAAGTAATCCACTTAAGTCATTAGGTGATTGAAAACCATGAGCTGAGACTGATACGTTTGTTTGATTTTGTACTTGTTGCTGTTGTAGTTGCTGTTGATGATTAGCACCTGATGACACACTTATGTGAGATTGTGATTTCTTTGGATTCCGCGGCCGTTTGATTTTTGTAGTTGAGGACGTTGATGATGTTGTTGTATGTGGAAAATTACCCATAAGCTCAGGACTACAAATGCCATCACTTTTGAGTCCATTAATTATTTGATATGCTTGCACGTTATTGTTATTAGAACCGCTATTATTATTGTTATTATTACTACTAGAATTATTAGATGAAGATAAGTATCGGTTGCCATTTAACATAACATTATCTGTTGTTGAACACACAGAACCCGGTGGACTAGTAGAAGTTGAAATCATATCATTACAATATGAAGTTGATTGTGCTTCTATTTTTATCGGTGGGCCATTTTGTAAACGATTTTGTAGAAGCGGCATGTAGCCATGTGTAAGGAGGCTCTGTAACGTCGAGCCAGATGATTGAAGGGGCGAGTGTGGCAGTAAAAAGTCATTTAATGCATCATTTTGTGATACAATAAGTTTACTATCTTGAGGCACAACTGTTTCTTCAATCCATGCATCTAAATCCATCCATGAATCTCTCGTATCACCTCCCGTATCTCCATCACTGCGATTATTCGGTACCGTTGTGTCTGCAATTGCTGATCCAATTATTGCAGCGATATCCTCAATTGAACTCATGTCATATTCGACGAGATCTTTTGCATCGACATAGATTTTTGTGGCAGTACTATTTTGATTTCTATTTGACACTGAGTCTCGACCTGAAGAGATTACACAACTATCGGCTGTTGTTATGGAATAAATTTTACTATCTATTGAACTATCTGAGAAGAGCTTAACGTCTGATAGACACGAGTCAGCACCATCAGGATTAAGTACTGAATCGGGTAGACAAGTAGACGACGATACAATATTGTTGTCTCCATTGTTATTGTTTGAGCCATTACATGACGTTTGATATGAACTTTGTGAATAGTTATTATTATTCTCTTCAGGTAGTCTCTGCGCTATAGCATGATAATGATGTCCAGATATTCCATTTATCGATAAATGACCCGTATAGCCTGTAAACGGTGGCAGTGGTTTCAATTCGGCTAAATTCGTATTACTTATGGATGTAGAATTTGACAATAAATTATCTAGTAAATCTAATGATGATTTTTGTGTCTCTGAATCACTTGGCAGTGAATCCAAATCATGATCTAGAAGTAATTTGTGACCATCGAGTAAATAATCTTGACCATTTGATCCTGAATTCCAACATGGACTCATCAATAAACTCTCTACTTCTGATTCGTTTTGTGAGCTCATATTTGTTGAGCTGCAATACACCATTTTACGATTATATTTCTTCGTGAAATCAATTTGTTGGTTTCGTTTCTTACTCGTGCTGAAGGTTGCTTTTAAGTTTCTTTATATTTCTTTATTTTATTTTGCAAAATTTCCTTTTTATTTTACAATAATTTTTTCGTGTTTAATAAATTTTCTGCTTCTGTTTTTTTGTTTTGTGTAGCTTTCTAAGAATGTGCGTTTAATATTTCTTGAAATTCTACAATAATGTTGCAACGAAATATGTTCAGATAATTACGAAATTTTGTAGCCGTAGTTACCTCGGTAGAGTTGGAATTCGCAACATTTTGGTATCTGTAATGAGAAACATTTAAAAAAATACTGTATTAATGAATTTATCTTAATTGTTGGTTTAGAGTTAAAGAGTTTATATGAATGAAAGATGAATGAACTTATAACGTGAACATTCAACCACCAAAATCAGAATGACTCAATATTAAAGCTTAAAATGAGAAGAGCAATAACCTAGGGCAACAAAAATAACACTGACGTAATTCATGAATGACTTTCAGAACTTGATTGTGAGTATATTAGAACATTTTGAATGTATATGGTTGATGTGTGAGAAGATCTTTATGGATCTAATTAAAATTATTGTCGATTGTCTTCTGACCATATTTCTTCTTCAATTTAATATTAATTTATTGATTCTAATGTTCTGACAAATTAAATTGAGTTTTTAATGCTAGGTTTTGAAATTCCCTTGAACTGCGTTAAATATACTGTTAATTGCTGTATTTATTAATCGTTTTCTCGCCTTTAAAATAATTAAAATTAAGTTTTACAATTTTATTAACTAGAATGATTTTAGTCGCTAATTTTCTTCAATAATTAAATTACAAAATTTTAATAAAATTCAAAATAGTTATTGCTACTTAAGAATCCCCATTAAAGTAGCGAAGATTCATCTTAATTTCTACTCAAATAAATCAAAAACTTTAACAAAATAAATGAAATATGAGCGGATATTTTATTTAATAGCCTAATTTGACTTAGCCTTTTTACAACTTTCTTTTATTGTCTCATCACTACTAATCCACAAGCCACAGCCTTTTCTTCTCTATTATTTCCTTCTACTTCATTCTCTTCTATTTCATTATTTAATGTAATTACTACAAAAGTATTCATCATCATCCTTTACCGGAATACCATACAAATGAATAATGCACACAATGTAGAATAGCTGAATAGAAAAATAATATTACAAATTTTATAGCACAGATTGAAATTTAGACAGTAATAAAGCCATAAATTTAGAAGATCTTTAAAATGATTTTGGTTTGACCTTTTAAAAGAATCTCCTTTGGATTTAATTGTTAAAGTTTATCGACCCAGCCGTAAACTTTGAATTTGGAAGTGTTTTATGAGCAAAAGATACAAAAATTAATTTTCGACTCATATTTTTTTTTATTTACTTAAAGAGTATTAACTAAGTTGAATTTGGTTTGAGCAATTAACATTCCATCCATACCAAAATGGCAAATTGTCATTTAATGGCTAAGAAATTCTTGTCCTACATTTTTCACATTCACAATTTTAACAAGCATTAAGCATCAATCGAGTCTCTTTCTTCTCTCCATTCCTTTCTTAGTTCTTAGTTCTTGGTTCAGGGATGGAGTCAGATAACATGAGAGGGTGATTGGATGTAGGGAGTTTTTGTTTATATTAATAGGACTACTTTGAAATTCATACTGAGAAATCGTACTTAAATATCTTTTGGAATCGTAGTTCGATACCCTTTAAGTTATAGTTGTTAAATCGTAGTTTGACTCACTCCCCTGAAAAGTAAGATTTACTTCCTCTGAATACAAGATTGAATCCTTGATACATCTCTGATCATCACTTAGTATTGAGACATTTTATACCTTTCATTATTCATTCTTTGATTAAAATGTAAACATTTTTAGCACTAATCGACCTCACGCATTCTTTTTTGCCATACAAACATACGTATCGCTTTGATGCCTTTGAAGTTTGAAATAAATAAAGAAAGAAAAGAAATTAAATACTATTATTAACATATGAATAAACGAATGAGCGAATGAATGGAGTGAGAAAGATAGAAATGTGGCTTTTATTAACCGCGCCAAATTATTCATTATATGCCTCATTGTTGCAAATGCTTCAGTGAATATTTGGAGTATAATCGGGAAAAAAAATCTGTGTATATAATCGCTGAATATATTACAATGAAGAGATAAATATGTTATTAAGTGATTCAAAATAAAGCTGACATATGTTTTATTCATGTTATATTTATTGGTTCACAGCTATTAGCTAAATGTAACTGATTTAATTCGAACTTGTGCGGTCAAGTAGTTTTTTTTTGCTTTTGCTTTTGTCAGGCATTAGTTTCTCTAAAATAAAATGGAATTTCTTGTTTATTTGGCACATTTAATTACTGTCACAACGTTTATGGACCAGAGAAATTTTAATTGAATTTGTGAGAGGGTCAGGTGAGGTTTCAAAGCCAATTACTGTAACACTAGTCTAGATTTTCTTATTAAAAAAAATCAGCTAGAAAAATTAACCTCAAATCCCAAAAATACCTAAACAATCTCCCAAATCGCATTTCAAGCTCAAAACTATGGATCCAGCCAACAGTTACTAACGCAAAGCATTCACGAACTGTAATTATGTGCCAATTTCCGAAAAACTTGCGTTAATTATTTTAGAAACTTGTCAGTTCATTCATAATAAACTTATACAAGAACTCCCGCTTCATTTTGAAGCTTCCAAGAACAAGTCACAAGCTACATCTTTCACGAATATCATTATTTCCATTTTGTCAACTCAATCTTACTGTAAATTTCTTTTGTTAACCAAAAAAAGAAGAAGAATATAAAGAACAAACATAAAAATGTAATGACTTAATCGATCAATATGGCTTTTTTTTCGAACCAAGCCTAAATATTCTCATTGCGGATTATATCATAAATGGTTTGATGATGTTATTTGATTTTCAAGAGTTAGAAAATAGCTGTGGAAAAGTAAATATAAAGTTCCTCTACAATATTCAATGAGAGATAAAAAGAATGAGGCAATGGTAATGAAATTTATTTAAATTTTAAATTAGCATTTTTTGTGAACACAGCAAAGCAAAACACATTTCGACCTAGAAAATCCATACCGAAAAAAAAAGAACAGCAATATACGCTTGACGTCCAGTGCGTACTTATTGATGAGATAATATGCCAAATAATAATAATAACAATAGCGGAGAATTTAGTTGAGCAAGAAAAAAAAATTCTAACGGAACTGAAATAAAATATTGAAAAATGCCCATTTTTGACATTTTTGCGTGGCTTGTTTTATGCAAAAGACTTTACTGCCTACTAAATTATTTCAAATGCGTTGATTCTTTTTTGGAGTGTCAAATTATTGGTGAAATGGATTGATGACGCTGTGGTCAAAAACTTTACCGTACTTTTGTAAAATTAACAATTGTAGTGCTGATCGAGTGATCTTAAGTTCGAGATTAAGCAGAAGTGTACCAATATTTTTTTAATTATAGATAGTAGCACCCCATTGAAGTAAGCTAAAGTAAAGAGTGACTCAGATTTAAGTATGTAGCTGTGACATATGCTTACTAATCATCCATGCCAATATTGAGACATTACAGCAGTCTAGAGAGTCAATAGAATTTAATTCCAGAAAACTGAATGGGAAAGTCTATTCCAATAAATCTAGCAGACATTTAATATCTGTCATGATGAAGTATAATATAAAATTAAATTACGTCTCTAAAGAAGCTACAAAACAAGAAGAAGTTATGTGTAAGTAATAATTTTTTAATGTGTGAAAAATCATGATTTAAAACAAGACCGAACCGCGCCGTCAAAGAGTGAGAAGAAAAATCTCTTTTCGCTTTCTTCTGAGTTTGTTGAGCGATACGGGCGGAATCGACATAAAAAAATACGTAAAAATCCGCTACAATTTATGACTCGTGTATTCAAAAAAAGGCACAAGCAAAAAAAAACAGCGTTCTTTCATTCCATCTCAGCCATGGGCTGTAAAATATTGCTGGTATACCAACACAGCAGCAACAACAACATCATCATACTACACAGCGTCGCGAGTGAATAAGCGAATGGGAGAAAGAGAAGAATTAAACAACATTGAGGTCCCGTTATGCGAGAGACCTGCTAACACACTTCCTCAATGTTTATATTCCATTTGAAATGTGATTTTTTTTTTGCTTCTTTCATTTCTTTCAGTTCAAATATTCTCTTTTGGCTTTGAGATTCTTTCTCAACACACATTGGATGGTCTTTTCATGTTTTGGTTTATTTGATGAGAAAATTTTCTTTCATTACATTTCTTCTTCCTTCTTCGTTTCTCTTGTTGTTCTTCATGAGCAAACCACATGAATGCTTTATGTAGCTTTTTTTTTTTTATTTTTTTTATATGAAAGAAATTGAAGGGAAAGAAGAACGTCGAGACTCGACAGCGTTCACCCGATTTTGCTTTTATTTTTGGGAAGTGTCTTTTTTTATGAACTGATTAACATTTTTGCATTCATTCTTTTTGGTTATTATTCAGCTTATTATGCTTTTTGTCACACTGTCAACCTTATTTTTTTGTCTGTGATGAAGCCACAAAATGGGAAAGTTTAAGAAGTGATGTCTGTGCATGAGGGAGGAGTACAAAATGCATCTGATGTTCATGCTGTTTAGATTAACTTGGATCGAGATTGAAAAGGTCCTGGTGCCTATAATAGGCTAATTTTTAATAAGAATATCCATAAGATGGATCTACATAAGAAAACGTATGTATCACATCCTTATTAATATTTGTCTACCTTCATGTCTCACATTCAGCTTCCAAACCTTTCAGAACTCAAAAATAGACGTAACTAGTCAGTGACTCTCGTAAAATACAATTTTAATGAATATGCCGAAGCTACTAATTCATTATTTGCTCTATATTCCTAACGATTTTTGACAACTGTAGCATAAAATCTCGGACTAAAATAAATGAGGCCTAATTCTTAATTCTAATAATTTAAAATTTCAACATGACCTAGTAAGTAAGCATTCAGTAGGATTATAATAACTGCCGGTTTTTATAAATATTTCAACTCTTTTTTTTTCGTTCAACAAGCCAATTTCGTGTAGAGCAAAAAAAAAGAAGAGTATGAAGCATAATCGCATGTAAAAAGAAGTTCAATAAAGAGAAAATGTAACACAAAAATCCATCAATTGAAACAGTCTTAATAACTCCCACGATTAATCATTTGGAAAATTATTAATTTATGTTATCATCGCGAGCTAGCGGCAACAATTTGTTTGAAA